CAAATATATGCAGCAGCTACAGAGAGAAATAATCCAGATGATGCCAAAAGTATCTGCAACAGAACTGCATGGCAGGTACCGATGCCCAGTTTGTAGGAATGATCTTCTCTCTGAGTTAGATCTAAGAGACAAACTAGCTCTTGTGCAAACAGAAACGAGCCCTGCAGTCAGATTTGGACGCATCATATTTACTAGGGTCAGCGTGGGCATGCTTGTTCCCAGCCGCTCTAGTATCACTTCACATACAAATACCCAACTGTCTACTTACTCCCGACATAGGGGCTGCGTGCCTGGGACCTGTCAGCACAACCTTCCTTTTAACAGAGCTGGCCATGAGACTCACCAGCTAAACCAGTTCCTGGAGTTTAACTTTGTGAGCCTTCATCTGGGCTGGCCTTTCAGGGATACCATTCAAACCACATTCATTTTAACAAGCTAAAGCAGTCCCTAGAGCAAGAGGTTGTTTTCTGACAATGAAACCAGAGGCACTTTGCTGGATGGAGTCTCAGCAAAAACAGTCTTTAACTCTTCCACTGTAGCACAATCTACAGGGCTGTTCCTGGAGCTCGACTTCTCTAGTACCTTGGGTATTGTATAAAGGTGCCTAACTGATTTGTGTGTGTGTGTGTGTGTGTGTGTGTGTGTGTGTGTGTGTGTGTGTGTGTGTGTGTGTGTGTGTGTGACCTGGCTAGTTATAAAATAAATAATAAAGCAACTAACAAGATTTATGGACGTTTCAAAACTAGCTACTAGTTGGTGTCACAGGACAAGTCATTCTGTCTCTTGTGCTCAAAAAGCTGTTTACATGTAGTCAATAAATAGAGTACAGGTGATAATTGCACAGATGGCATTCCTTCCCAATCAGTATTAAAACTCACTCTATCTTAAAGGAGAATGATTGTCCTGGCACTCAATCATTTGGCTTTGCAGGCCAGGTGAATAACGCAGGGCTGGTCTATGGGCCAGGCTGGGCCCTGCACCACTTCTATCTGGCCCTGCACACCTGGATCAGGCCCCACACTGCCTCTACCTGCCATTCATGTGCCAGGATTGGGCCCCACACTGCCTTGGCCAAGCCTGTATACCTGGATTGATCCCATGCCACTCAGCTCCATGAACCTGGATCAAGCCCTGCACCATCTTGGCCTGACCCTGGACATCTGGAGTCAGATGAACCCTCCCCAAACAAACCCCATGCCGCTCAACCCCACATAGCCATATCAGGCCCTGTATCATCCCAGCCAACCTCTACATGCCCAAATTGGCTCTGCACTACCTTCCCAGCCTTGCACACCTCATCTAGTGTGCAGGGTCATGCTCTCCAGCCCGCAGGACCCGCTACAGGTCAAGAAATTTGGCAGAAAGGGAGTATCCATCACTCCCCCTAATGGGCCAGATGACATGGCTCCGCAGGCTGGATCTGGCCTGTGGGCCAGGGTTTGAACACCCTGTCCTAAGGGTATCAGTTTTTGGAAGAGAACCCATATACTCCTTGCCTGTTCTTGGTCATGTAAAGTTCTGTTGTGGTTTTCATTACATTTGGACGGTCTGCAATGGTATCCCAGCTCAGTTTCAAGCTGCATAACTTCATTCTGTTGGCCTCTGGTCTCCCCAGCACTGAACTTCTAAAAAATCCCCCCAAAGACTGTGAATCAATACAGAACAAAGGGATCTGAAGGGGAAATAGGGGTATACTTCATAAAAGTACTAGAGAAACTATCTTTTATATTAGATGTAAATCAAAGTTATCCAACCTGTTGTGGGAGACTGCCTTAAGGAACATGTGTACTTTATGAATTGAAACACCAGCACCTTAACCGGGGCCTGAAGTTTTGAGTTGAAGAGCTTTGAACCAGCTGCATTGCTAGTTTTCTCCAGTTCTCCCGCCCCTCCCCACAACCAGCAGCTGTGATGCAATGTGAGAGGGTGCCCAAAACAATTGCTTTCCATTCCCTTCCCTTCTCTTCCCAACTATGGCGCTGCAGGAGAAGAAGGATTGAGAAATTCTGGCAACTCCATTTGCTGTTACCTAACTAGGCTGTGGAAATCTCAGGCCAGGTCTACCCTACGGATCTTTGCCAGCATAACTATGTCAGTTGGCAGTATAATCAGTGCCTGACATAGTTGTGGCCGAAACTGTGCTTTTATCAGTATAGTTTATTTGGCTGGAGAAGGGATGAGGACTGCTGGAATACGCTGTTCTTGCATAAATATGTTCTGTCTGTACAAGATACATCCACACTGGGAGCATTCAGCGAGAACTGGCTCTAGAGACAGCAGGATAGAAGCTCACCTGGCTGGCCCAAGTCTGGAGGAACATCTAGCAAAGGAAGGTCTCTTTGCCCATACAACTGTCCTCAGCAGCCCAGTAGGGGGAAAATGATAAGCTGAGAACTAACCATAAGGTTGAGGCTTCCTGGTTACCTGCCAGCTGCTCTTAGCTTGTGCCATTGGGCAATAGTGCCTGAGGACCCACAGGACAACTGGGAAGAGCTAAAGAACTGCACAATATATATCATGACTCTGCCTGCAGTGTGTCTTTTACGCCTGCAGCTTTAAGAAGCATGGTATAAAAACTGGCTCTGCCAGCTGTGCACCCTCCTTGGAGTCTTTCCCCCATGCCAAAGCAATCCACAGCAAGGGACGTTGCAAGTAATTTCTGCTCCCTTCCCTAAGGGTAAGGCAAAGGGAACAGATTTAGACACAGAATCACAGACTCTGATCCCATGACCTTTCAAAATAATATGTCTGGCTCTCAGGCTAAAAGGGTCAGACACCACCAATTTATGGTTTTCCAAAGTAGTGCCAATGCATGTAGCACTGTCTATAGTTAAGGTGGCCTAGGCCCTTTCATTTCAAGTGCTGTTTACATTTGCTTACAACTTTAGCAGACTTTAACCATTTGGGCTAGATGTTTCCAAACTTAATTTCTGATTCAGATGGAAGAATATTACAGAGTTTCAGCAGCAATGGTTTAGCCCCTAGAAGCAAGGTTACTCTGGGAGAAGTAGAAAGTTTTAAAGAATTAGAGGCTCTGTTGAAGTGAGTGGTCTGATCCCCTCTAAGTCAATAGGGTAATTATCTTCTTCTAATGTGTAAAGGGTTTGAGGCAGGAATTAAGCACATGCTACATTTAAAGAATAATTTAGGGTGGTTGTTTTCCCTTCTCTGTCTGCTTGCAACTAAGAAAAGCCATTGATTAATTTGCCCATCTTCAAAATTTACTACACAGCATCAAGCCGAAGCAGAGAAGTAGTCTTTAGCCCTGGGGATTTACCCAAACAAAACGGGAGTATAATTCCCTTCTTACTATCAGCGGTTAAAATTACAGGAACCAGGTGTAACTATTCCCTTTATAGAGCAGTGACAGTTATATTTTATGCTTTGCAAAGGAAGATCGGGTATTTACACACTGGTAAGCATGGAGAGAGTTGACTGCATGTATTCTGCTATGCAAAGTAACATAACACGTTAACTTAAAAGCATTTAGGTTTGACATGCTGGAAGCAAGCTATTGGTCACTTGAGTACAGAATTTTTAGATATTCTGTTAAAAATAGCCTACTAAGTTACGTACCCTGAAACAAGCAGCAACTCTGCCTCCCATTTCACACATATGAACCCCTCCCCACCTCCCACCCCTTGCAACCCCAATCCCCCCACCCCCACACAAACCATAAATCAAAAACCAGAAGATCTGTCAGGGAAGTGATGAAATGCAGAAATACAGACAGCAAAGATACAAATAAAATATGATTTTACTCATGAAAAACTATACTGTGTCTGCTTTTTCTCTCCTTTACCCTCTGCTGGCTCTCTCATGACAGTCTCTCTCCCTTCCTTTTTCCATTTTCATTCACCATTCTTTTGTCTATCCTGCATCTCTTACTGTCTCTGTCTCTTCCAGCACAATCATTATGTATTTAGGAAAAAAAGGTTATTTTCCAGTTTTTTGCTCTTTTCCTGCTATTGATTTTCTACCACGCTTTCATTCTCTCAAATTATAGTTTCTTGCTTTATTAACTGGCTTGCTCCTGCAATAGTAATTTTCCTTTTCAAGGTTAGTGGTTTTGAATGTAAGGTCCTACTATACAAACGGTGTCCGAGAAACAACTCATGAATTCCAAACCTTGAAGGAGAATCTAGAGCAGTACATCAGCCTTTTTAGACTCAAAGTGCCCCTTGCCAGGTTAAGGCACTACCCGGAAAATGTCAGCTCTTAGTTTTCACTCGTTTTTTTAACTACGGAAATATAATAGAACAATTCTTTTGTTGCAACGAATTCAGAAAGGTCACAACAGGTCAGAATGGGTTTAACACTATGGATTCCTATTTCCAATCTCTGGGTTTATCTTGTGAATGATGTTTGCACATCTAATGGTGTTTAACACTGTGTGGCACTCTGTGCCACCCCCGAAAGGGTCTCAGGGCATTGCAGAGTGCTGCAGCACCTGGTTCAGAATCACTGATCTAGAGAGTCAATCCAGGTAATTAAACTTACTTTGCCTTTACCAGTAAAAAAGGATACTGAAACATGTTTTGTGAAAGTAGTGCTGCTTCAAGGTCATGAAATACTTTAAAGTCTGAATGGTGTTGCCTGAGACTGTCTCCCTTTCCCCCATTAAACCGAATTTATGTCCCCACTTTGTTTGTGAAACAAAAACATTGCATAAAAGGTTAACACAGATTTACTAGGAAGTTCCTTGTCAACTTTCTTTCCTTGCTTGCTCGCTTAACACCAGTTTCTCATTGGTACACGGACTGAGCGTTTGTGGTTTTCAGCTGCTGCCTCACTTCATTTCAGAGCGTGTCAGTAGTGAGAGGCCTGTTAGCTAAAAAGCAGGCAACAACTGTGCCATTTCTGGACTCTGTCCTATGCATGAGAAGGTAGCTCGGTCCCATTGACCACTGGGTTCTTGGCCTCCTGGCTAAAAATACAGCTAATTACAAAGTGGACTCCCCCGGTCCCAAGTGGATGAACGAAGGGTACTTAGTTCTTACCTCTAGGCAAATAACTGATCCTTGATGCTCCTTGAACACTTTTAACTGCTCGCCAGTCACAATATTCCACGTTCGGATAGTGTAATCTGTGCTGCCAGAAAACAGCTCCCTGTTTGGCGCATCAAGTATGAGGCATAACACAGCCCCGGTGTGTCCCAGCAGAGTCTGATAGCAGCGACCACTGGATACCCACCAGACCTTAACAGTGCAGTCTGTGCTTCCTGTCACCAGGAGGTCTGTGCTCATTTTCTCTTCCTCCTCCTCCGACTCATCAAGAACATCCTTGGAAGAGTAGTGAGCCAGAGTCAGGACACAGTTGCGATGGCCACGAAATTCCTGGATTTGCTTCTCTTTGTCCACACTCCAGCACCGGGCTGTCCTATCATAGGAGCCACTAAAGAGATAGTCTTTGGCAACCAAGATCCTATTAAAATGTAAATACAATTTGAATGCAAAAGCCCAAAATAAAATAAAAGTTACAAAATCAACCATTCAAGAAATGCCAAAGTGACACTGTCCATGTTAATTCCCCCCCCCACTCAATGTATATGTTTTATACATAAACATACACTTTTTCTTCCCAAAATCTCCTCCACACGCACACAAAGACCAGAATTCTGCTTCAGCATTTTAAAATCAGGTAACTTCAACTTACTTAGGTGCCCAAATATGGTCTAATTTTGGGCATAAGTTTTTACTAAAATCTTGGCCAGCAGCACTGCCATGTGTTTTTCATTAGTTATGTGTTGCTAAATAACTATTTAAAAAAAAAATAAAAACCCTTATTTCTTGTTATGGTTATTTAGATGTCCAAATAACACTGGCCTCAGAAAATAGCAAAAATATTTAGTTTCCAAGAACCTAAATGGCAACTGATATTTTCTAATCATTATACAATTAACAGGCAGATTAAAAGATACATTTGAATGGATATCACCACCACTAAGTCAAGGTCCTCACAAAAGAAGGTAATCAGTATCTAAATTTTACAGATGGGGAACTTGAGGTACACAGAGATTAACTGACTTCCCTAAGGTCCAAAAGGAATCCCTGGCAAACCTAGGATAATAAAACTGCTCTTCTGACTCCCAGTGCAGCACTCCCATCCACTGGACCATAAAAAATAGTCAAAGTTTAGCATGCAGTTCATGACACTGTATAGCGCAATTTATGGCATATTCATAATAATTAAGAACTGGAACTGTACCACTTGGACAGTGCCGTAGCAATGACGTTTGGTGCCCAGGGCAAAGCCCGCAGCAGCAGCCTGCCCTCGCCCTGCACAGATCCAGGGGGCACATGTCCCCCCACTCCCCCATGCTTGCCCGGCAGTGCATGCAGCAGCAGGAGGAGCCACCTTCTCCCCGTTCCCGTGCCCCCTCCCTTCCCAAACGAGCCACTCACGGCTCCATCCTGTTCCCCGTCCCAGCTGGGCAGAGCCCATTGGCGCTCCTTTCTTTCAGCACCCAGAGCAGTTGCCCCGCTTGCCCTCCCCCTTGCCATGGTACTGCACTTGGATCAAAACAGAGTCGTTTCTACATGCTGCATTTTCAAATTAAAGATGGGGGAGAGTGGTGAACCATACAATCCATTCTCTACTCTAGAAACGGGTTATGGTCCTCAGGCACCTAATAACCTGCCCATGCAGCTAAGCGGGCACTGTTTTAGTATCTTGCTAATTCAAGATGAACCGGCCCAAGCATTGAGCTCTTCTTATCTGTTTACAGAATCTGCTCCACGCTTCCCGCGCATTTGTTGTCCGCCTCAAACAAATGCTTCCACTGTTTGATTTTTAAGTAAGTAAATACATTCCAGCAATCAAGAGAAATCCTACAACAGGCATAAAAAGTCATCGTTTACTTTTAAATTTAGTTTTAACAGCGAGGAGTAATCATTCTAAGAAGAATCCTGACTCATGTCCTTTTTACTGACATGAATGCCTGGCAGGATGTTTTTTCTTAAGTATATTTATCAGAAGCATCTGTTATCAATTGAATAATTTCTTCTGGAATTTCATTCCCAGTGGTGGATTCAACTCCCCCTGCTGTGTGCCTTTCATTCCTCTCCTATCCCTAGTCTATAGCTGTGTCAGCACTGTTGCTAGGATAACTAATCATTACAGCAACGAACACGTGTAGCAAGGAGTCAAAGATTTACACAACCCACTTTTATTAGTGCAGTAATGGAGAATACTAGTAAAAGACCATTTAACTGGGTCAGGTTACAGAAACGCAGTAAAACGGCTGTCTTAAAAAGAAAAAAAAACTAGTACCAACCTGTTAACAATTGATGTGTGGCCACGGTAAATGGCCAGACACTGGCCTGTCAACACATCCCATTTCCTAATTGTATGATCTGCACTACAGGTGAAGGCAGCCTCATTTTCTAAGTGGCAAAAGGTGATGTAACTTTCATGCCCTAGGAACAGCAAAAGAAATAAAAGTATTCAGCGTGAGTGTTTGCTAGTGGAACAAACCCAGCAGGCAGTGATATGCTTTCTTTTGTTTAAATGAGAAGTAAGCTAGTTGGAAATGGGACAGAGCCAAAGCCTAAAGCCTGAGTATTTTCAAAGTTTTAGTTTTAACATTTGCAACTGTGTTTCTCACAGACAGTGCTGTATGGAAAATACGGCACTTCTAAATTAATAGTTTTATTGCAATTGTTTTACCGTTTCATGGATAAATGAAATAGTGGTATAAACAGAACATCTCAGGGGTTATTGTCAACCAGCTCAAGGCTCATCACGTAGTTTGTTGTTTAAAGGGCTTTGCAAAAATCTTATGGATCAAATTCATCATTTATGTAATTTAACTAAAACCTCTGGAATTTAAACTGTAGATAAGCTTGGCTCGCCGAATAAAGAAATAAAAAAAATTAGTAGTGAAAAAAAATAAATAGCTTGGGGAAAAGCACTGTTTAAAGCCATGGAAACCTTGGGCAGCCCCCCCCCCCCACCGAGGAAGGGAGAAGCAAGATTATCCCTCTACCCACCTAGCCACCCTCTCAACCCAAATCAGCCTGGGATGCCACAAAGCCTAGCCAGCTGCCACCGGTGGAATGAGATGGATACTCTCACAGTGACATTTACCTCTGCTCTAAACAAACCAAGATATCATTTGCTGATCCCCCTCCTCCGCCATCTGCAATACTACTTCTACCATAAACAGCACCAACAGTAGAGTGACATGTTTCACAAACTCAAGGTCTTTTATAGCATCTGATGAAGTAGGTTATTGCTTAGAAAAGCTCATGCCTATGTGAATGAGTTAGCCTCTAAGGTGCCACCCTGCTCCATCTTCTGCCAAACTCCTCTTTGCAGACAACATCACAGAGGCTGATCCAGGTCAGGGTCAAAGTATTGTATTGTCTTGCATACAACATGCCCTAAAATAAGATGTCCACCTTATTTTTGAAAGGCAGAATGAAGGAAAAAAGATCTTTCCTTATAGTAAGTAACTGAGTAGCTGCAGCTAGGAACCAAGCGGGAGCGGAGCCTGCTCTTTATTCTGTTCTTTCTTGATCATGTGCAGACTTTACTTTTGTTTTCACCCTGCAAGAGGTTAAGTGGCAGAAACTTCTGTTACCATATTTCCTCATTTATAGCATGCACTCCAAATTTCAGCAACTAGTTTTTGGGAAAAAAAGGTGTGTATGTATGTGAGAAAATATGGTAAACTGGTGATTGATGGGATCAGTCTGCAATGCTGTTCATTTTGCAGAAAAATGGCCAAAATAGCAGCTCTCACAAGCACCACATTCATATTTCTTTTGTAAAATTCATGTGATAAATAGAATTAACTCTTCACGTAGAATTAAACCTGAAAATATAGCCAACGTAATTAAGAGCTGAATGGACATAGGTAGAACCCCAAGCCCCAGCAGTAACTAGGATAGGTTACAGATATTAGTCCAATACACTTTTATCACTAGTTAACAGTTAATGAGTAAATTAAAAAAGAATTCTTACCCTAAGCTATGTATATGGAGTTCTCTAGGGCAGATGAAAGCGTATATTAAAAATAATGAATAGCTTTCACTACATAAATTCAACCACCTTTGGGGAAAAAAAATTAAAATAACAAGTGATTTGGTAGAAAGCATGACATTAAATGAAGCTCATCAATACATAGTCCTGCTCCTGGATGATTTTACTTTCTTCAGAATTAACTCATTATTTTAATCATTCAGGCAGGGGTTAGTCTAAGGATTGTGTTTAGAGGTGTACATCTCACTAAATGTCCAAAAATAATTTCAGAATAAAAAAATACTAACAATTTGCATTTTAGGTGTGAGGACATTATGTTCTGCTGAAGAAAATCCTATGATTTCATGGGGTCTGTTCCTAGACTTCTTAGTCAAGAGATTCTGAATAAGATGATTCCCTGGAATAAGTGCTGATAAAACAAGATTTCACTCTAGAGAAAAAGAAATAACTGCAGCAATGAAGGAAATCTCAGTAAGGATTTAATTTTTTTTTTTTTGATGGCACATGGTATTTAGCCAACTACATTGGGACTGGAGCCCTGACTTCATGTGTTCCAGTATAAAGCCCTTAAAGGTACAATCAGGACGGGCACGTAACCTTAAGTAATAGCACAATCTTAATCTCATCTAAGTATCATGTGCCATCACAACATAAAAGGATCCCTGCATACAATAATGTTTGTAACCTGCTTTGAGATGAAAAAGTTAATATTACAAATGTCAGGTAAACTCAAAAACAAGCATGGTATTAGGCTACTCGACCAGCTCTAGAGGCTGGAGAGGACTGAACCATGCTGGGTGGCCTATGCCATGCCTTAGCATGAGCTGCATTTGGTCTTGAAACTTGGAAAGAAAGGACTCATGCTGTACCTTGGAAGTGGCCATGGCACTGGCTGTCTGCAGTGCTCCAGAGCCGTGCAGTGCCATCCTCACTGCCTGTCAGCAGCCGCTGCCCATCTGGACTCAAACTGAGCCAGTTGATGCCTCCTTGGTGTTCAGTGCAGACCTTCACCGCTGAGCCACTGTTCCCCATGCTGTTGGTCCCACAGCAAAAGCAGAGAACCCAGAAGGGGATCAGTTCAGTGTCCACTCTACTCTAGGAAAGAGTTTGGGATCTACAGCAGGGTCCCTTAGACCAACTTCAGCCATCTCGCTGGCCCTGAAAAATCAGCAGGTCGTCTAGACCTCTGCAGAAAGACATGCAGTAACAGGAAAAAGACACGTGATACTCACTGATCCCCCAGCATGGATATCTTACCCATTTCCCCTCCTCTAACCATGATGCATCAAACTAATCTCTGCTCTTCCCAAGAGTGAACATGAGACAAAGCAGTTCTTACTGCTTTAGTGCAAGCAACAGCACTGTAACACCCCTACCCCACTTACTGTGGTTGTAAGTAGGAGGAAGGCAGGGTAGATTTGCACCTTAGAGACTAATTAAAATCAGAGCTACATAAGCTTTCCTAAGCAGCAGCTCACTCCCACAGATTTTCTGTGAGGCTGTGCTCTCGCAGGCTGAAAACAGGTATCACCTTTGTGCCACCATAAAGGGCAAGCAAACAGACGTTCATGCCCCTTGCACGCCACAAATGCCAGAAAGCATGGCAGTGATAAAAGGTAATGCACTTTGGTGCCTCTTTTTCATGGTGGACGTCAGTTTGTTTGTGGCAGGAAGGCGCAGGCAGCCCAGAACTGCCCGCACTCTCCAGCTGCCCCAGGCAGATGCTCCTGGGGCTTCAGGGGCCCTATCCTGCACAAGGGATCCCTGGACCACACTTCTGCAAGCAGAGAAACCCAGGGGTCCCCCATGAGCAGAGACACTCTCTGAAGCCCCCTGCGGTGGCCAGGGTCTGGCCCAGCAGGACAACGGGAAGCACCCTTTTCACCCGGCGCAGTAGATCAGGGCGATGCGTCCTGACACAGCTGATCCGCTTCCTTTGGTGACAACTCTTTATAGCCACAGGCCCCACCTGTTGGCAGCAGGGCCGTTCAGCCCAGCATCCTGTTGAGGGGATGCTGACCATCCCTGACAAGGCTTAAAACCCGTTCTGATTAGGTGTAGGAGAAAGCCCGGCTGAAAGCGTGATGCCCAGTGTCAGGCAGGCCAGGTCTCCCTGCGGGCAGTCTACAGGCTTGGACTCTTCTACCCCTTGGCCACTCTCATGTGGCCAGTCCTGCCTAAAGCATTTTCCAGGAGAACTGATGCCAGGCAGGAACCTTACCCCGTGAGCCATTGAGCCCCCTCAGCCACTCCACCCTTGGTATTTCTGTGTCACCTCTGGACTGAGCCTCTGAGGGGCACAAAGAAGGGGAAGAAAGGCCTTATGCTGAGGAGGGGCTCCCCTTCATAGGATGGGCTCAGGCCCTTGCACAGGGGAGGGCTGGGGGCAAAGGGCACACGTGGCCCTTGTCTGCCCCCCTCCCTGAGCATGAAGGGCATGGGCATGCCAATCCCAGTCCCTGCTGCCATGGAGCTGCTGCTTCCCCCCTCTTGCCACCTCCCTCCCAGCATGGCTGGGCTCATCCTAGCCCCCCTGCGCCCACCCCACAATCAGAGGGGCTTACCTGAGGCCAGCATCCCTCCCCTGAAGAGATCCCTCTCCACACCCCCCCCACCCCATCCTCCTTCCCCCTGCCTCTACCACTTCCCTCTGCCCCCTCCTCTCATCTGTGCCTCTTCTTCACCCCCACCCCCGTTGTCTCTCGCCCTTCCTGCCCACATTGTCCTGCTCCCAGCTGCTACAGCTCCAGCTCCAGCTCCTGCCCACATTGTCCCAGCTCCCTGCCCCTCCCCGCATCCCACCTGGGACCCCTGGACCAAATCCCCAGAGGCACGCAGACATCCCTCCCACGCCATCACTGCCCCCAGCCGCCCCAGGTGTCCCCTCCACAAGGAAATCCCCTCCAGCCTCTTGCCCTCTTTGCCCCCTCCCCAGGCCTGTGCTAAGGAACCCCCCCCCAACCCTGGCTCTTCATCCACTGCCCCCATCACCCACGGGCAGGGGCATCCCCTCTTCCCCGAAGAGAAAAAGTTGCCACCTCTGCCCTTCTGTGTTTCTTACCTCCTGTTAACCCGCCCGCGATGAAGGGCAAAGGCTCTGCTCCCCGCAAGCTGGGGGTCTCCCACCGCTGGCACCAGATCACACCCGAACAGGCCCCCCAGGCTTGTCTTCAGGGTTGGTGGGGAGCACTGAGAAGTCCCCGCGGCCTCAGCAGCCAAGTTTGGTCCCCTTTTTTAAAGCCAGGCGTTCTCCCAGCACAAAGGGACAGCTGCCTGCTTCACATGGTTGCGGGGAAAGTCTTGGGGGCACAAACTCTGGAGGAAACAATCCAGAGTAACCGGAGCAAGCTCACTATCAGGCAGACACATTTCCTTCCCCGAGAAGGGACCGGGAAAGAGCTCGCCGAGGGGCTTAGATCAGCTCCGAGGAAGGCTGGGAGGGGGGAACTGCAGGGCTGGTGGAGCCAGATGGCTTCTGTCCAGCAATCCCTGAAATCCTCCCCTCGAAGTGTTGTGCGTCTTGAGGGGGGTGCTTGTGAGGCTGATCTTTAGGCTGAGCTTAAGGAAAGGCCCTGGGGCAGCTGCTGCAGGGCAGGGACCCGCACTGCCAGGGGCAGGGGTTGGACAGTCCTCATGCTCAGCAAGCCACCTTTTGTCCCTGCTCTTGCTCCTTCAGCTGCGCCTGTCTGAAGAGCTTCATCTAACCCTCACGCTAAGATCCCCGCAGGAATCCCAACCCCAGTCTTTCTCTCTCACTTAATTCCCTCCCCGAGCTTTGCACTGTTTCTCATTAATGCGGTGGTTCAGAGCTGGGTCTGTCAGTCAGCCGTGCAGGGGAGCACATCGCCACCCCTCCGCCTTCTGCGAGGTCCTAGAGAAAGCTGCTTTCCTCACCGAGTGCCTGGCTTTCCTTTCACCCTCACATGAGAAAGGTTTTTAAGCTGCCCCAAACTCCAGCGGCCTTGCGGAGCATCCTTTTTTTGTATTACAACAACGAGAGCTGCACTGTGCAGGGCCTGTAGTGAAAGGCAGGCTTAGTCCCACAGAGTTTGCGGTGTAACATGCACAGAGAAATGGAGCTACAAGGGACTTGAAATGACTTTGGAGGTGAAAAAAAAAAAAAAAAATCGCAGATCACGTTAGCAAAAGATTCAGGAATAAAACCCAGGCTTCCTGAGCACCAACTCAGAGCTCCATCATCTGAACAACCCTTACTCTCACATAACAGTCAGCTGAGACGTAGAGCTGATTTTCCATTTAAATTCATTCCAGAATCCTGTAGCCCAGGTGAGAGAATAGAACTGATTTCCAGTGGCTCCCACTGTTAGCTACAAAGCCATTTTCTTGTGCAAGGTGAAATTACCAGGGTAGGCCCTAATTTATTGTTGTAATTAGGTTTAAAAAAAAATAAATCACTAGACATTTTACAGAGACTAAAGATGACAAGGTCCCTGCCACACACGGTTACTATCTATATCATGTATTGCATCACGCAGACTGGAAGGAAATATATATATTAACCAGATACGGTCACCAGGAATTGCATTCTGGGCAGCACATTCTGGCAGACATAAGGAAGCACTAATTCATCGTACCCATGAAAAAGTGTACAGTTCTGCTTCTGTTCTCAGCTACATCAGTGCAAAACTGGAGCAACTCAATGAAGTTAAAGGAATTACGACAAAGGAAATCTGATGCAATGAGCATCGAATCAACCGCAATAATTTATCTATGACAGGTGCCTCTTCTCTGAAAATACGCATTTCAATATTAAGATAAGAACCCAAGTTTTCAAAAATGACCCATGATTTTTTTCCCCCCCTCGGCAACATGAGTATTGAGCACCTTCCTCCTTGAAAGTCAGACTCTGTAATGATTCTTCATCTGAGCATCCAAAATTCAAGGCCTTTCCTGAAATTGGTAGCTCCTTTTGAAAAGTCAGGCTTGAGAGTTTGTTTCATGGTTATAATTGCAGAGTGTCCCACTCAACTTCTCTCACAAACCACTACATGTGACTATTAGGCTAGGAACCATGCACAAAGCAAATACCTAAGTATTGTTTTATTCTACTGTTGTAGTATGGCTCCAAGCAGGGGCAACTCCAGGGGAGTGCAGTGCTGCAGTTGCACCCTCCCTTTGATTCCTGCTTCACCCAGACTTTAAAACCAATTGCCTGGGACAGGGAAGGGCATTTCTAGTCAGGCAACCCTGAGGGAATCAATTGACCTAATGGCTCGCTAGAATGCCTGATCCCTGCTAATCTCTCTTCACTCCATAGGTGTTCATGAATCCTTGTAATTGTTCAGAAGTTCCATTAATCAAGCTATCCTTTCTTCTGCAATTTTTCTATCTCTTAGCCATTCCATTAGCTCTCTTGTCATTCACAGCCCTGGAGAATGTTTTAAGCTCTAGAAACCTTATATCAGGTGTGATAATATTAACTTCGGTGAATATTAACTCAGGTGTGGAAATGATTGACAGTGAAATGTTGGGTGCACTGTTAAGATGCTCAAAAACACTAGATTTTGTTTTACAAATCTGAATAAGAGATGCACTTTTAAATATAATAATTACAGGACTAATAAAACAACGTCTCTTGACTATCTTTTGCCTAGTTTCTGGAGTTTTTTGAACTTTATATATAACCTAGCAAATTAGTGTGCATTCATAAAGTTATATTTGTATTTGCTTTGATATGAATAATGTAGCACTAGGCCCCTACCATATTCAGTCAAGTTTCTAGTTTATCTTTAATTGGAGAAAAACGTGTTACATGTGATGATGCACCACACCACCCATGGGTTTAAAGATACATTCAAGAGAAATAAACACTTCCTAAGGTTCCAAATATGCGCACACATTTTTAATTACATAAAGAATAAATTGCCACCTTAGGATGGGCCAAAAGGGATTCTTCTGTGACCACATTTTGGTAGAACTGGGCCTTTGGCCATAGATATTGTTATGTCCCTTGCTATTTTTAAGAGACATTCCAGATCTCTTTATTTCAAAGGTGTGTCCCGTCCCTGTCCCCTACC